CTCTTTCCTTCTGTCCCTCTTACAAGTGCAAGTGCCCTACAGCAAACAAATATTGTACGCTAATTTTAAAAATAAAAACTCCAAGAAGTTACGAAACCACCATTTGTGGTGGAGTAACACTGCCTGGAGGATTCCCAGGCAGGAGCTGCAGAGCGGGACACTCCTCACAACACCACCTGCTGGGAGGTGCTACCAGACACCAAGACAAGGCAGTAGCAGTAGGAGCAAGTGCTTGTCTGGGACCCTGGGTCCACACCCAGCAGTTCTGCGAAACACGGGCTACTCCTAAGAGTGCACGTTTCCGAAGTGACTTCTACAGAACAGAAGTGCTGAGAGCTAGGCTTGTCCTGACGAAGCTGACCCAAGGGAAGGACAGGGGACAAGGACAGGGGTCAAGGGGCTCCAGACACCCCGAGTCCAGCTCAGGGCCCACAGCAGACTGGAGAGTGTGTGAGGTGCATGGCACCTCTGTCGCAGGACTCGGGCTAGCCGGAGCTGTGGTGCCAGAACCAGGAGCCCTCCAAGAGGAGGCTATCCAACTAGGAAGTTAACAGGGCCTGCATGGAACTGGCTTGGGACCGTCCTGCTGGAAGGAAGGGTTCTCATTCTCGGCGTGAAGTCTTTAAGGACACAGGTGCAAGGAGTCCTAGCCTAAATCGGGAGTGGCAGTGAAACAGGCATAGCCTACCAAACCTGTATCACAGGCGGAATGAGAGACTCGGCAGCTCTACCTACTTGGGGACAGGGTCGGCCGCCTGTCCTGCAAGAGACCAGCAAGACAAAGAGGAAACACCTGGTCTCCGCAGGTTTGGGGGTGAGGGCAGGAATGGCTAGGCCCAGGCTCCCATCAGTGCCTCCAAACTGTGTCAGGATACCCCCATGCTACGCAGGTCAGCTAGAGGATGTCCTTTAGGCACCCTCCCACCCCAAGTCAGTGTCTCCCCCAGTGCCGACGGCAGGGTGCTGAGCCACGCGCAGGCCCTAAGCAATAATATGCAGCATGGCAGGGGAGGCGCCCCCATGTGAATCCCACCAGTACTGAGTTCTGCAGCTCCCTAGGTCTTAACAATGACTTCGACCCTTAAGTTTCTTTCATATTTTTTATTTTAAATATTACTCTCCACAAAGACAATGACCTTCCTGTAGTTATTTTTTTCTTTTATTTTTTTGTAGTTTTGTTTTGTTTTGTTTTTAAGAGTTTCTTTGCTATAGGGCACGTGCACTTGCCAGAGACACAGAAAGCAAGAAATCACCCCGCAGGGGGATGGCCATGCCACAATCCCTTCTCCTCTGTTCTCCTCTTGGGATTTTGGGCACACATGCACACGCACCTAGTGTGAGTTTTAAGCTAACGGGTTTGGAACCGCGGTTGACCACATGGGAGTCCAGCAACGTAACCATTACACCATCTCCTGGTTCCCCGTTAGTGTTTTTTTTGGGAGAGATTGTCACTGTAGGGCGCGTGCGCTCGCCAGACAGAGAGAGAGAGAGACATAGAGACAGAAAGCGAGAAATCACCCCCCAGGGGGGATGGTCACGCCGCAATCCCTTCTCCTCCATTCTCCTCTCGGGATCTTGGGCACGCACGCACACGCGCCCGGTGTGAGTTTTAAGCCACTGGGTCTGGGACACGAACCGCGGTCGACTACGTGGGAGTCCAGCAACATAGCCATTACGCTAACTGCTGGTTCCCCCCCTTTAGTGTTTTAAGTAGCCAGTCAAGACTCACTGCCCAAGGCAACTCGGATCATTTGTCAACCTTAATCGGGAGCATCACCCTTCCATTCTCCTAAAAACACAAAGATTACCTGAAAAATAAAAACAACTTGTTGGGGGATAGCATGTGGGGTGGTGGTTAAGGCACTGAATTCCCACATGGTCAACTGGTTCGAGTCCCAGACCTGGTGTGTTCCTTTCTCACGTTCCCTCTCTCTCATCAAATTTAAAAAAATAATAATAATAAATTAAGTTAAATTAAATAGCTCTTTTAAAAAATAATAATTCTTTGGTCCTTGAGGTAAACGTTCACCCTCATTCAAGCAGCCAGAGCTCCTGGCACCCCGTTGGCCCTGCGGAAGCAGAAATAGAGATAAGGGGGACCCAGCTCCGTCCCATCCAAGGAGGGTGAAATGACTCGAGGAAAGCACCCAGGCACCGCTGTTTCCGAGCAGGAAGATCCCAGAATGCTGCCATGAGCCGCCATGGGACGTAACATCTGTACTCAGTTCCAGTCCTCGTCCTGCCGAGACCTATGTGCACTGTGGGATGGCAGAGTGCCACTCACACGGCACAGGAAGACCTAAAGGCACGCATCCTTGTTCCTCCCCAGCATGCCAGAGCTGTGCGGTGGCTCCTTCCTCCACCTCCCTGGTGTCTTGGCAGACACCCCAGGATGGTTTGGGCCCCATGAGAGGCACAGGACAAGAGCTGCTGTAAATCCTACGACTTTAGTCACTCAGCAAGGATGAGGGCATGAGGACAGCTGGCTCCCTACCACCCCGAGTGGAAAATGCCCAGCTCCGGTCGCTCTCTAGAGATGACCACGCTCATTATGCCAAGTGGGTAGAAGGCAGGCCTGCCAAGACCAATTAGAGAAAATACGAGGCACCACCGAGAAGGCGGGGTGTCTAAGGCCTGTAAGGGGCTCCTGAACCCTGACACTGGCTCCCCCGGCCTGCTGCCCATCACGACCATCTGGCTGTACTTCCCTGATGGGAGCCAACATGGAAAAATCCTAACCCACAAGGACTGAGAAAGGCATCTTCGAGAAACCTGGGGCATTTACAATCACCCCACATATTCTTACACCTGTGAGGTTAAAAAGCTACTTTAAGATGCGCTGATGAGGGCCAGCAGGTGGCATGGTTGTTGGGGTACTGTACTCCCACATGGCCGACTGTGGTTCAAATACTGGACCCGGTGGCTTGCTTTCTCACTTTCTCTCTCTCGCTCGCTCTCTCTCTCTCTCAATTTCTCTCTCTCTCTCTGTGTGTGTGTGTGTTTCTGACGAAAAGAAAGAAAAATGAATGAATAAAAAAAATAATTCTTTAAAAAAAAAAGATGCACTGATGACAAGAGTCCTCTGAGTCACTAGGAAGGTTCTCCAAAGGCCATGTTCCTGTTTTGTTTTTTGTTTTTTAATTGCCAGAGAGAGAGAGAAAGAGAGGGAGAAATCATCCCCTCAATGGTTGTACCCCCTTTTCCATTTCTCCACCCTGTCACGATTTTGGCATATACACATACGAGCATCTGGCAAGTTTTTCAAGCCGCTGGGGCCAGGATTCGAACAACATGGTCTGCCCCATGGGATCCAGCTCCCTTAACCACCAGGCTATAGGGCTGGCCCATCCATGTTCTAAGATATAAACACAATACTAATTTCAAAGTGTCACGTCGATCTCAACTCTGGCTGGGGAGCAGGGCAGGAAGCGCGGTAACCCAATGGCAGTCACTGTCGTCCACGCTCACAGGAATCTCACCCGGTAAAGGGTCTCCAAGGATTCTCCGCAATTTGCAGGGAACACAAACTGACTCACCCTCACACTTCTCTCAGTCCTACACATTTTCATCTGAATGTTCCCTACTGGCAAACGGGTAGTGTCCTTGCCACCTCAGAGCAGGAGAGCATGACTGTGTGCCCCAAGACTCAGGCAAACTGAGCCCTAACTACAGGACTGTTAGGAAAGTCACAGTGCAGGACCAGCGGGTGGCATAATGGCTATGTAGCTGGACTCCCATGTAGTCGCCCGTGGTTCGAGTCCTGGATCTGGTGGCTTAAACTCATGCCAGGCCTGTGTGTGCGTGCCCAAGATCCCGAGAGGAGAATGAAGGAGAAGGGATTGCGGCGTGGCCATCCTCCCCTAGGGGGTGATTTCTCGCTTTCTGTCTGTCTTTCTGGCGAGCATACGTGCCCTATAGCAAAAACCCTCTCAAAATAAAAGAGGGAAAGTTACAAAGCATTTTTGCATAGAAAACCAGAAGAACACACCATGACTTTCCCAACACCCTAACATTATCACCAAGAAACAAAATCCTCGCACAGCAGCCATCACTGCCCCAACAAAGCCCAAACCTTCTTTGAAAACGAAATCCCCCAAAACCAAGTTTGGATCATACAAAAGTTCCTTGGGGAGCCAGCAGGTGGTATAGTGGTTAAGGCACTGGACTTTCACATGGCAACTGTGGTTCAAGTCCCAAACCTGGCGGCTCGAAAATCAGGCTGGGCATGTGTGTCTATGCCCAAAATTCTTGGAGGAGAAGAGAAAAGAAGGGACTGCAGTGTGGTCACCTCTCCCTAGGGGATGATTTCTTACCTTCCCTCTCAACTCTCTCTCTGTCTCTCCAGTGAGTGCACGTGTCCTATAAAAAAAAAAGAAAAAGAAAAAGAAAAAGATGAATCTAAAAAGTTTTTATTTGTGGAAATGACTTTAGGTTCCAGAATTACCAAAAATAACTTTTTTTTTAAGCGTTTTTGCCATAGGGCACATGTGCTCACTAGAGAACAGAGACATAGAAAGTGAGAAATCACCCCCACGGGGACAGCCACATGACAATCTCTTCTCTATTCTCCTCCTGGGATTTGGGCACATACGCACACATGCCCAGCATGATTTCAAGCCGCTGGGTCTGGGACTCAAACTGCATTCAGCCACGTGAGAGTCCAGTGCCTTAACCACCAAGACACCTGCTAGCCCTACATTAATCGTTACCTATGTTAACTATTAGTAGCATTGGCTATTACAATTCTCTAAAATGTAAAACAAAACATTTTAAATCCTGGACCAGCAGGTGGCACAGCAGTTAAGGTACTGGACTCCCACAGGTCCAACTATGGTTAGAGTCCCAGAGCAGCTGGCTTGAAACTCACACCTGGCGTGTGTGCATGCACGCCCAAAATCCCGAGAGGAGAATGGAGAAGGGACTGTGGCATGGCCATCCCCTCTGGGGGGTGATTTCTTGGCTTCTGTCTCTCTGGTGAGAGCACATGCCCTACGGCAAGGTAATAAAGGGACGTGGGAGTCAATGACATGGCTCTGCAGGTGACTCTCCTCTGGCTACCTGGTTTTACTGCATAGGTGAGAGAGGGGTCCTGACATGCCGCAAGAACAGGCCCAATGCTCTTTTGCACAGGCTTTGAAGGGAAGCCGAGACACCTTTCTAAGAGACCCACACGAGACGTACCTCAAACAAGCCTCAAACCAGCCAACCCCCTCCTCTTGGAAAAGCCTTCCTGATCTCCTCAGCCTCCTCACAAGTAAGCCCTCCACGGCCAGGGGTCTGTGTCCACAACTGCCCAGTGGGCAGGGACCGAGCACCACTGGTCTGTACTTCTCTTTTTTTTTTTAATTTGCTATAGGGCACACACACTTACTGGGGAGAGAGAGAAAGTGAGAAAGCACACATTCCCCCCACGATGTCATGCTGCAACCCCTTTTCCTGTCTTTCCCTTTGGGGGCATTTGGGCATGCATGCACACAGGCTCGTTGTGTTTTTCAAGCTGCCAGGTCTAGAACCAGAACCACACAGCGGCCCAAGTGGGATCCAGCGGCCATAACTACACACCACTGCCTGGCCATGTCTGTACTTCTAAAGAAAGCAGCACGCCAGTCCTGGAGCAGCTGCTGCTCCCAGGTCACGGGGTAAGTAGTGTGTGCCCTGGCTTCCGCTGGTCCTGCCAGCCCTCAGTCTGCAGCGTGTCTTGTCCCTTTTTGTGTGCTGGGCTCGTGCCACCTAAGTTTCTTGCTTAGTTCTCTGCTCCATCTCCTAACGCAGTAACTGGCACCCAGGAGCGGTCCCCCAAAGTATACGTTAGACAAACGTCTGAATGGGAAATAAAGAAGTAGCCCAGCCAACTCGCCCCAGGACCCGAGTCTCCAATGCTCACCAGCTATGTTGTGGGAAGCAGAAATTCCTGTCTGTGTTGGGTGTGGCAGGACACCTGACAGAGAAGCTGGAGAAGTCCACCTGGTACTAGCTCTGGGGTCATGCCCATTGACACAAGGCATCATAATCCTGTCCCCTCCTCACTCCAGGGCCATCAGACCACCCCAAAGAAGGGCTTGGCCAGCCATACCCCTCCAGGAGCTACTCGCACACCCAGGGAGATGCTGGCACGGGGTCCAGATGCACAGGTACCTCCCCAGGCCATGGGTCTCTGAGCATTCTCCCAAACCGCCCTCTTCCGAGCCTTGGTTGTCACTCTCACTAGGAAGCCGGTGGTACAAACCAGCCTATGACAGGGCCCCTCTCAGGCCAGCCCGCGTGGTGGTGCCTTCCCCTGAAGGGTCCAGCTACTCCGGGTCAGGCCCTCCCCACTCCCTGAGCAGACCAGCTGACCATCCCACAGCTCAGCTCTTGAAGCTGCCTCCACACATTCCTTCCACAGTGGGAAGCACATGCCCACCTCCGCCTGGTGCTTTCCTGGGGCAGAGGCCACATCTACTCCACTGTCCCCGGAGCCCACTACAGGGCACAAACGTCCTGACGATGGGAAATGAGCAGCCCGCAATAGAGAAAAGCGGACCCCTCTTCTCAAGAAACATGCTTTCTGGTTTACCAGCTGTGTTTTCCCAAATGAGGAAAGGTGAAGCCCAAGGTCACCAAGAGGAGGAGTCATGGCTGGGACCTGTCTGTCCAGGGTTGGTGGCCTGAGCCCTCGAGCACCAGGAACCACATTCCCGGCTGCTCCCGGGGGCCTTGCTTTCCTGTGCCCCATTAGGGGGTGACAGTCTGACCCCAAGGCTCAGCTGGGACTGAGCTGTGCCTGCCCGCCAGGGGCCAGGGCAACCCGGCAGAGAAGCAGAGGCTTTACTCAGTAGACCCCGATCAAACGCCTGGCTGGCGGCGAGACTCACGCAGTGTTACTGTTGCTACGTGAGGGGACAAGGCGATCGAGATTTCGTGCAGCCACAGGGCCGGGAAGCAGCCAAGGATGGCATGCTGGAGGGCGCGGGCGAATTTAGGCAAGGACGCCAGGGAAGGCATTCCTGGGGTGACAAGACGTTTCAAGACGGGCGGAGGT